ACCCAAACTATATTTAATGCACCGCTCAAGAAAATTAATATGACTTTCTAGCATCATACAACATTCATTTTAACACTGGCGGAGAGCCAATCACAAAACACACATTTTTCACGGCGGGGCGGGCTCGCTGCGGGCCCCCGGGCCCGGGCTGGGCGCGGGGGGCGCGGGACCCCCGAAGCGGGGCGGCCCCGCCGAGCGAGCGCGCCCCGAGCGCTTTTGGCCGCGCGGAGCCGCCGTCGCGGGGGTGACGTGGGCGGCTTTGCGGAAGTGGCGGCGAGGGGCGATGGAGGGAACGCTGGAACAGCACCTGGAGGAGACGTGAGGGGACAGCGGGACAGGGGGACATGGGGACACAGGGGGACATGGAGGGGCACGGGGGACACGGGACTCACTGGGGGTGTCCCCCACACGGGGAGATGGGGGGACACGGGCCGGGGGCTGAGGGGAGCCGGGTGTGTCCCGGCCGTGTCCCGGCCGTGTCCCGGCCGTGTCCCGGGTGTGTCCCGGGTGTGTCCCGGGTGTGTCCCGGCCGTGTCCCGGGCTCCCAGCGCCGCTGTCGCCCCCAGCATGAAGAGCCCGGCCGTGGTGGGCGTGCTGTGCACCGACTCGCAGGGGCTCAACCTGGGCTGTGAGTGAGGCAGCTCCCGCCGGGGGCACGGGGGGGGCTCCCGGCCCTGCCCCACGGGGGGTTGGGGTGCCCCAGTCCTGCCCATTCCCCCTGAGGGGCTCCCCGGGATGGGGGTGGGGGCTCCAGCCCTGCCCTGCCCTGTCCCCACCCTCGGGTGTCCCCAAGGGCCACCAGCTGCCTGCGCCTGCCGGGGCCAGCTCTTCCTGACGAATTTGGGATCCTTGCTGGAGGGAGGGGAACCATTTGGGGAGACACTGAGTCAGCCCAGGGAGGGAAATGGAGCTGGGAGGGAAATGGGCCCAGACAAGACCAGGGAGGGAAATGGAGCTGGAGCAGGACCCGGGGGGAAGTGAACCAGGGAGGGAAATGGACCCAGGCAGGAGCTGGGAGGGAAATGGAGCTGGGGCAGGACCAGGGAGGGAAATGGCCAGACCAGGGGCAGGAAGGGAAATGAACCAGGGAGGGAGATGGAGCTGGGAGGGAAATGGGTCAGGGCAGAACCAGGGAGGGAAATGGGCCCAGACAAGAGCAGGGAGGGAAATGGAGCTGGAGCAGGACCCGGGGGGAAGTGAACCAGGGAGGGAAATGGGCCCAGGCAGGAGCTGGGAGGGAAATGAACCAGGGGGGGAAATGGCCAGACCAGGGGCACGGCCCAGGGAGGGAAATGGAGCTGGGAGGGAAATGGGCCCACCAGGGAGGGAAATGGAGCTGGAGCAGGACCCGGGGGGAAGTGAACCAGGGAGGGAAATGGGCCCAGGCAGGAGCTGTGAGGGAAATAGAGCTGGGGCAGGACCAGGGAAGGAAATGGCCAGACCAGGGGCAGGAAGGGAAATGAACCAGGGAGGGAGATGGAGCTGGGAGGGAAATGGGCCAGGGCAGAACCAGGAGGGAAATGGCCAGGGCAGCCCCCCCGGGCCGGGGGCAGTCCAGCCTGCCCAGGGCACTGCCCTGGCACAGGGGCTGTCCTGGCTCCCCGCAGGCAGGGGCACGCTGTCGGATGAGCACGCTGGCATCATCTCAGTGCTGGCCCAGCAGGCGGCCAAGCTGACCTCGGACCCCACGGACACGCCCGTGGTGTGCCTGGAGTCTGACAGCGGGTGAGGCCCTGCTGCTGCTGCCCCCCCAGCCCCGGGGGGCTCCTGCAGCAGCCTGGGGGAGGCACTGCCACGGGCACGGCCACTGGAGATGGGCAGGGACAAGCAGGGGGGAGCCTTCAGGGGCTGGGGGTTACTGCAGCTCAGGGGCTCCTCCTCCCGTGGGGCCCCTGGGGGTGACAGAGCCTGGGGTTCCTGTGATAACAAATCCTGGGGTCCCTGTGGGTGACAAATACTGAGATTCCTGTGGGTGGCAGAGCCTGGGGTCCCTCTGGATGAGGAATCCTGGGGTCCCTGTGGGTGACAAATCCTGGGGTCCCTGTGGGTGAGGAATCCTGGGGCCCCTCTGGATGACAAATCCTGGGGCCCCTGTGGGTGACAGAGCCAGTGGGGCAGCAGGGACACCTCCATCACTGCTCACAGAGGGGGGAGATGGAGCAGCTGAGGTCTGGGGTGGGGATGGGGATGGGAGTGGGGATGGGGATGGGGATGGGGATGGATGGGATGGGATGGGGATGGGGCTGCTCAGTGATTCCCCTGCCCACTGCCCACCCCCAGCTGCTGCTGCCCTCCCTCAGCCCTTTCTCCTGCTGCAGGAACATCATGATCCAGAAGCACGACAGCATCACCGTGGCAGTGCACAAGCTGCTGTCCTGAGCCCTGGGAGCAGCTCTGCTCCCGGCTCCTCCCTGCACTGCCACCTCCCCCTGGGGCTCCACACCTGGGATGAAGGCTCCCCTCCCTCTCACCAGCTCCTGGCAGCTCCCTGGCTCTCCAGCTCACGTTTCAGCCCTTGTGCTGCTGAGGGTGAAGCGTGGGCACACCCCCAGGCCCTGTAACAAGCAGACCCTCCCTGCTCTATTTGGGGGCCTCATTTGTTGGAGAAATCAATAAATGACCTGTGAAAAACCTTCCTGCCTCCTCTTTGCTCTGCCTGGGAGAGCTGGGCCTGGCAGGGTGGCTGCTCCCACTGCCTCCATGAGCATTTCTCTGCAGAGGGGTTGGAGCTCGTGGAGGCTCCTCTGTAGGAAAGGCACAAAAGCCTTCCCAGGAATTTCTCCTAGGAAACACTTCGCCTCCTCAAGTTAAACATTCTGTGGGAGTTCCTGCTCACTGTGCCTTGGGTTGAAGTTCAGAGCTGGCCCTGCCAGGGCCCTGGGAGCTGTGAGGGATCTTGGCAACGTCCCCACAAACCCAGGCCCCTCTTGCTTTGGATCCAGGGAAACAATCCTGCAGAAAGGGGGGGAGCTGCTGCACCCCAATGGATCCTGTGTGCTGGGGAGGGAGGAGGAGCTGGGCTGCAGCTGCAGGAAGGGAAGGGGAAGGGAGTTTCACAGCAAAGCACGAGGGAAAACTTGGGTGTCATTGTCACTGCTAGAAATGAAGGGATGGGACTATTTTCATGCTAAGAATGATTTATTGCTGAGATAAACATCAGCCTCAGAGGCTGTGAGGTTTCAGAGGAGCAAGCACTCAGCCATAGCTCAAGAGTAGCACAAGATTTATTGTTACAAGGCAATATAGAACTTTCTAACCCAATAGAAAAGGCCACAGGATTTATTTAGTTTTTCTACCTATCCCCTTTATTTACTCCTGCTGCATTGTGGATACTTTTATCCAATGGCTTTTAACTCACAAGTTTTAATGTTTCTATTATAACTTCTAAACTCCCAGCCTCTCTATACTGTTACATTATAAACCTTTCACCTTCTTATCAATACAGTTTCTCACTTGAGGCATATTTACTTACAACTACAGAAACATAAGTTTATTATTTTTCTGCTTAATATCTGTTTATTGTATTTTTACACCAATTTAAGCTTCTCCCAAGGCTGCAAATCAAATCTTTCAGTGGAAGTTTTTCCAGTTCCCACACCTGGGCTGGGTCAGTGAAATGACGCTGTCACTGCTCTGGCTTCACTCGGAGCAGCTCGTTGGGCAGTGAGAGCCACAGCTCAGACAGGAGCAGCCCCTGCCCTGCCAGCCCCACAGTCCCTCCCAGCCCAGCCTTCCCCTGCACTGGAGCCCTGATCTCGGCTTGTCCCAGCTCTGTGGTGGCCCTGGGCACTGCTCCCCTCCTTCCATCCCACAGCAGCTGGAGCTGGGCATCCTGAGCTTCCCCGGGCATCCACCAGCTCCGAGGGCAGGGGCTGCTGCCCCTCTGCCCTCCTGCAGACACTGCCAAGCTGATCCTGCCGAAATAGAGCCCAGGGGACAGCTCCTGCACAGGCTCCCAGGGACCCTGGGCTGCCAGGAGGACGCAGCTTTGGGATTCTGAGCCGAGGGACAGCAGAGAGCACCACTGTCCCCACCTGTGGGGTTTCTGTCACCCCAGGAAGGGCTGGGCTGGCAGGGCAGCAGGAGGCAGTGGGGAAAACACCCCAAGTGTGAGGACACGAGGCTTGACTCCATTTTGCTCAGAAGGCTGATTTATTATGTTATATATTATATTAAAATACTATATTAAAACTATACTAAAAGAACAGAGAGAGAAGATGATCAAAACGTTATAAAAGATAAGAATGGAATGGAATGGAATGGAATAGAATAGAATAGAATAGAATAGAATAGAATAGAATAGAATAGAATAGAATGCATAACAAAATATTGTGACTGCTCACAGCCTTGACACAAGTAGCTGTGATTAGTCACTAATTAAAAACAATCCACATGGACTAATGGAAGATGCACTTGCTGCATTCCACAGCAGCAGATAGTTACTGTTTACATTTCTTTCTTGAGGCTCTCAGCTCCTCAAGGTGGGAAAAATCCTAACAGAGAATTTTTCATAAAATATCATAGCTACAGGGCTGCGCTCAGCCAGGAGCTCGGGCAGGTTTCCAGGGCAGGCAGGGCTGCAGAACTGCCCGTTTGCAGCCTGTCCCCGCAGGATGCCCTCCCTGGCAGGACCAGGGCAGGACCAGGGCTCTGCTCCCCGCAGGCAGCAGCAGCAGCCCGGGCCCGGCTCTGCGGGGCGGGACCCGCAGCTCTCCCCGGGATGAGAACTTTGCTCGCTCCCCCTCCTTTTCCTTCCCAAAAGGATTTCTGCTCCGAACGCCCCGGGTTTCCTGTTCCCAGCTGGGCAAGGGGAGGGACTGCCGGCCCTGGGGCCGCAGGAGGAGGAGGAGGAAGAGGAGGAGGAGGAGGATGGGTCCGTCCTCCCAGCGCTTGCCAGGCTCCATGTCCTGCCCAGCACCATCCTCACCGCCCGGGAATGAGCAGCAGGTCTGGGCTGCCAGGCCAGGACGGGGGATTGAATCTCTGGGGCAGATTTTACATCTGCAGGAGGAGTGAAGAGGCTCTGAAGAGATTGAAGAGGCTGTGCAGAGATTCCTCTTTGCTGTCGGCTGTCCCGGGGAGGATTTTCCAGCATGCAGGGCGGTAAGGAAGAGTCCCAGGATCGTCACCCCGGGTGCTGTAGGGTCCAGCTGCTCCCCCGGGCAGGATGCTGCCTCTGCCAGAGGCACGGGGTGGGTGCGAGGATGGAAGCAGAGGAAGCTGCAGTGGAAAGCTGGCACAGAGCTCCGAGGGGGATGCAGGCAGCGACCCCCGGGCTCCTGGCACAGCCAGACCGCCAAAGCAGCACTAAGGCACTCGCCTGCCCTTAAAGCTGAAGTGGTTACAGTAATCTGGTGGGAATGAGAAAGAATATGAAACTGTTTCCAGACAGGAATAATTGGAATTGTCGGAGAGTCTGGTGGAAGCATCACCCAAGTGAGTGCAGAGCGTGGTGTCTGCCCCAGGCACTGCCCAGGGGCTCCAGGGAATGGCTGGGAATGGTTGGGAATGGCTGGGAAATGGTTGGGAATTGCTGGGAATGGTTGGGAATGGTTGGGAAATAGTTGGGAATGGTTGGAAGTGGGAACAGGAGCACTGGACGGTGTTCACGTGTCCTGACGCTCTCACCAGCAGGAGAAGGGAAGGAGGATGAAGAGCTGGAGGCTCCGGAGGCTCCATCCCCTGGGAAGAGCCGAGGCTCAGGAGCAGCGGGCAGAGGGTGGGCGTGGGGAGTGGTGTTTCACTTCTTCCTGGTAAGTGGGGGATGAACCAAACCCTCCCGGGGCTGGGGCTGGGGCAGGGGGATCTGCAGCCTCACCCAGAGCACGGCACAGGCTGACCCCAGGGCACACCCCAGGGCACATCCCAGCCACCCCAGGGCACTCCCCAGCCACCCCATTGCCCGTGGAATGCCCCCTGCAAACACCTCAGTGATGGACAGGAGGGTCCCCTTGCCAGGATGACTTCACCCTACTCAAACACATCACCACGGGGCTGTCAAACCCCAAAGGGGTGTCAAACCCCAAAGGGGTGTCCTGTCTCCTTGGCAAGGGCGTGATCCCACCTCAGGCAGTGAGGGGGGAGCCAGGCACTGCCTGGGAGCAGCACAGGCTCTCCGGTGCTCTCTGGGAGGACCTGGCACCTCAGCACCACTTAAAGCCACTAATTCTCTGTGCCCCAGGCTTTATCTTCCCACCAGTGATGAATCAAGGAATTGTGAAGCTTGGAGAAGACCTTTAAGGTCGCTGAGTCCAACTGTAGAGAAGGCACCGTGCCCCAAGCTAGGAAAGCTTTCCTCCCTTCAAATCCACCCCGGGTAACTCAGTGCCAATCATTAACCACCTGCCACCAGGGAGACAGCAGGAATTAAAATTCAGGACACAAACTGCCTGTCCTTTGCCCCTGTGGCAGAGAAGTCCTGGGAAACTGCCCCAGTTAACGTCCATCCCTGCTGCCCTCATCCCCTCACCTCCCAGTGATCTCCAGGCTGATCCATTTTGACCATTGCTGCGGAACTAAAAAGTAATTTCCAAGGTAAAAGCATCCTACAAGAGCTGAGCTCTAGGATGGGAGGGAAAGGGAAAGAAACTTTGTTCCTTTCCCTTGGAAAATCAGTTTGCAGAGTGTTTTCTGAGGGTCTGCTGAGACCAAACTGCAGCACAGGCACGACCAGCCCACCCTGCTGGCATTCCCCAGCACCAGGTCAAGTGTCCCCGTTTGTTTCTCCCACACCACCACAAAAGAAGCAGAAGGAAAAGCTTTTCCTCCCTCCTGACGCCCTGTGGCACCTCACCTCCACCCCCTCTCAACTCAGGTCAACGTGCTGGTGATGGGGATGCTCAAGACCTTTGGGATTTTCTTTGTGGCTTTCCGAGAGGAGATGGGGGGGTCTTCGGAGCAGCTCAGCTGGATCGGCTCCCTCATGTCCTCGCTGCGCTTCCTGGGAGGTGAGCTGCTGTCCCCAGGGCTGGGGCTGCTGCAGCCTGGCTGGCCCGGGCCACTGGGGCTGCTCTGTGCTCCCAGTTCCCATCCCAGGCTGCTGCTAACTGGACGTGGCTGGCACCCACACGTGTCTGAGCAGGAGTGTGCTCTGAACATTGGGCCATTCAGATGGGATAGGGGGAGGAAATTGGAAATTGGGAAGAAATCTTTTCCTGTGAAAGTGGGGAAGCCCTGGCACAGGGTGCCCAGAGCAGCTGTGGCTGCCCCTGGATCCCTGGCAGTGCCCAAGGCCAGGCTGTACAGGGCTTGGAGCAGCCTGGGACAGTGGAAGGTCCCTGCCCATAGCAGGGGTGGGACTGGGTGAGCTTTAAGGTCCCTTCCAACCCAAACCATTCTGGGATCCCCTGAACTTCACTGTAGGTTTATTGTAGAGCTCCAGAGCAAACACTTGTCCCAGCTGTGGGATAACTTGGAGCTGCTGGGCACGGTGTGGTTGAGGAAGGAGGCTCAGGAGAGCTGAACCTTTGGGCTTTGCCTCCTTCCCTGCCCACTCCCCGAGCTCAGGGTACAGCCCAAGCCTCTCTGCTGGACATTAACCCCTCCGCACCCCCTGCCACCTTCCCGGCGGTCCCAGCCGGCTCCCCGAGCCCTGCCAAGGCAGCTTTGCCCCGCTGGGCCTGAGCAGTGTCCCCGTTTGCCTTGCAGCCCCGCCGGTGGCCGTGCTGTGCCGGCGCCTGGGAGAGCGGCCCACCTCCGTGCTGGGGGCCGGGCTGGTGGCCGGGGGCTGCCTGCTCAGCACCCGGGCCACCAGCGTCCCCTTCCTCTGCTTCTCCATGGGCTTCCTGCTGGGTGAGATGGGCCTGGGGGGAAACCAGCTCCTTTAGCCTTGAACCTGGGGGAGGCTCTGCAGGGGCTTTGTTCAGCTGGGGAAGGGGAGCCTGAGGTGATCGGGGGCAGCATCCAAGGAAGGAGTGTGTCAGCTTCTTGGGATGGATCTCAGGGAAAGGTTCCTCCTTCCTGAGCACTGCCCAGGCTCCCCAGGGAATGGGCACAGCCTCGAGGCTGCCAGAGCTCCAGGAGAGCTTGGACAATGTTCCCAGGGATGCACAGGGTGGGATTTGGGGGTGTCTGTGCAGGGCAGGGGTTGGATGTGATCCTGGTGGGTCCCTTCCACCTCAGGATATCCTGTAATTCCATGAACCTTCAGTGCCAAAGCATCCCCAGCCCCTTTCTGAGAGACACTGTGTGAACTGCCAAAGCTTCATGCTCAGAATAAAACACCAGTTTCAACATCCCAGTCCCAACTAATTTCCATTTTTTTCCTGGACCTACATGGATCAGACACCTCTGCCATGGGGCACCACGAGTCTCTCTATGGTGGGAGTCTCTTATTCTCATTTTTCCCCCTCCCTCAGGGATGGGCTTTGCCTGGTGGGAGTTTCTCTGTGGTGGGAGCCTCTTATTCTCAATTTCCCCCTTCTCTCAGGGATGGAGTCTCTCTGTGGTGGGAGTCCCTCACTCCCATTTCCCTCTCCCCAGGGATGGGCTTTGCCTGCTGGAGTCCCTCATTCCCATTTCCTTCCCCTGGAGTCCCTCACTGTCATTTCCTGGAGTCCCTCACTGTGATTTCCCTCTCCCAGGGATGGGCTTTGCCTGCTGGAGTCCCTCACTGTGATTTCCCTCTCCCAGGGATGGGCTTTGCCTGCTGGAGCCCCTCACTGTGATTTCCCTCTCCCAGGGATGGGCTTTGCCTGCCTGTACCAGGCGGCCGCGGTGATGACGGCCCGGCGCTGCCGGGCTCGCCTGGCCTTCAGCAACGCCCTGGCCCGCTCGGGCATGGGGCTGACCTTCCTCATGGCTCCCTTCACTCAGCTCCTCATCGAGGCCTACGGCTGGCAAGGTGAGGGGGCACAGGGTGCCCAGGGCAGCTGGGGCTGCCCCTGGATCCCTGGCAGTGCCCCAGGCCAGGCTGGATGGGGCTTGGAGCAGCTGGGACAGTGAAGGTGTCCCTGCCATGGCAGGGGTGGGATGGATGGGCTTTGAGGTCCCTTCCAACCCAAACCCTTCTCCCAGGATATCTCTGAATACCCAGGACTCTCTGATCCAGGGAGGGAGGCACCATTATAATTTGGCATTTCTCTCTGGAAGGCATTCAGAGTTCCAAACTCCCTGCTCCAGTCTGGGCAGCTGCAAGGCAGAGAAGCATCTCCCATCCCAGCCATTCCCACTCCTGCCCCAGGGAGGCAAACGGGTTCCAGGCTGGGTCAGACCTCCAGGGGCAAAGTCCTTCCAAAGCTGCTGCTGAATCCTGCTCCTTCCAATTCATCAGCTCCGAGAGGGAATTTGGGGAGATCTGCAGGCTCTAAGAGGCTCTTAAAAATTCAACACTCCAAGGGAATAACTCTGCCACTTCTAGGATAGTTTGGGGACACCTTGTTAATTATTAAACACTTAATCACTCATTAAACTAAGAGTCAAAGCGCAGATCTCAAAAATCAAAACCAAAAATCCCTAATTTTACTGTAGTGATTCAAGACCATCTTGAAGGTGCATCATGACTTTAAATGAGGAAAAGCAAAACAGATCCCAGAGGTAGCTGTGGATTTGTTCTGTGCATCACAGCAAAATGAACTTCCAGCTAGAAAAACAGGAATAAAAATCCCTGTTTTGTTAACTCCTCCAGAAGGAGAAGGCAAACAAAGCTTTCTCCATGGTCAGTGAAAACCACAGCCTGTTCTACAAAGACCATTTCCTGCTGCTCCCCCCTTCCCAATCCTAGAACAAACCACCTTTTGCCTTCCCTCAGGTACTCTGCTGATTGTTGGAGGCATCATGCTGAACCTGGTGCCTTCCAGCATGCTGCTGTGGCCTGCCAGCCCCCGGCTGCCTCGGGAATCTGCCAAAAATCAGCACCGGGGGTCTTCGGGGGCAAAGAAGGATCCAGAAACTCCAGGTGGATGTTTAGATGGAAGCACTCAGAGGGAATTACAGCTTCTCCATGCACAGGAGGCTCCCACCACAGAGAAACTCGTGATGTCTCATGGCAGAGATGTCTCTGACCCAGCAAATCCATCTGCCTTGGGGAGGCAGCAGAAACCCAGCCCGGAGAGCTCCTGCTCAGAGTCACCCCCCGAGGCCCAGAGCAGCCACCAGCCCCTTGCAGCCACCAGCAAGGAACCTCAGCCTCTCCTGGACTTCTCCCCGCTGAAGGATCCCGTTTTCTTCATCTTCACCTGGTCTTTCCTGTTCAGCCACTTGGCCTATTTCGTGCCCTTCTTCCACCTGGTGGCAAGAGCCAGGACGCTGGGCATGAGCAGCAGGGATGGCTCCTACCTCATCGCCGTGGCTGGTAGGCACAGGGGTCCTTGACACCCCCAGCTCGCAGGAAAACACCCCAGTTCTGCCAAGAAATCCCCCAGATGTGTCCTGGCATGGATCCTCCTGCACAGGTTCAGCCCTGACCCCACCGGGTGCTGGGTGCTTCTCCCAGTGCCAGCTGGGTGATCCCACACCCTCCCTGCTCCCAAAAACCCCAAATCTCCACTTAAAAGGTGCTCTCTGCCCACCACAATCCCTGCTGGGCTTAAACCCACAAGCCACCAGAATCCAGAGGTGCATCCAAAGCCCTCCAGTTTGACCCAAAAGGGAGAAATTCAATACTGGGGGAAAGCCCCCAACATTAATGTGGATCCAGGTGTTTGGATTGGCACATCCACCTCCAAGTGGGGAAAAAAACAAGGTACACTCCCCAAAAACCAAACCCATGCCTGGTTTTAAGGCACACTCCCCAAAACCCAAACCCATGCCCAGATTCAGGCATCTGGATTTGGTGTATCTACCTCCAAGTGGGGAATAAAAAGCACACTCTCCAAAACTCAAACCTATGCCTGGCTTTAAGGCACATTGCCCAAAAACCAAACCCTTGCCTGGTTTTAAGGCACACTCCCCAAAACCAAACCCATGCCCAGATCCAGGCATCTGGATTTGGCACATCTACCTCCAAGTGGGGAATAAACAAAGCACACTCCCCAAAAATCAAGCCCATGCCTGACTTTAAGGCACATTGCCCAAAAACCAAACCCTTGCCTGGTTTTAAGGCACACTCCCCAAAACCAAACCCATCCCTGGTTATAAAGAACACTCCCCAAAAATCAAATCCATGCCTGGTTTTAAGGCACAATCCCCAAAACCCAAACCCAGGCCTGGCTTTAAGGCACAATCCCCAAAACCCAAACCCAGGCCTGGCTTTAAGGCACAATCCCCAAAACCCAAACCCAGGCCTGGCTTTAAGCCAGGATTAACACTAAAGCCATGCTGGGGTAAGAAAGTGGCTCCAGCCTCAGTCAGCAGCAAATATTTTATTGTATAAAAATACATTTTATTTCTGCAGTGAGGGGCTGTTGAGTTCTTGGGAATCCCCAGGAATTAACAGGATATTTGGGATTAGGAGGGGGAGGGACAGGGGTCAGTGGGGCACGAGCTCACTCGAGAGCTCCTGGATCTTTGCTTCATAAAAATGTACCAAGAAATGTAAAAAAACAACTCTCAAAACCCAAATTCTCAAAACCCCAACTAAAAGGCTGCTGAGCCTCTAAAATGTCTGGGTTTCTAGAAAATCCCTGGGTTTTTGGAAAAATTAAATTTTAGAATTTAAATAGAAATAATTCTAGAAAAATTAAAATCTCAGCCACATTTTTCTTCTTAATATTCAGATTTTTCTCTTCAGCAAGTTCCTGTGTCCTGATTTGGGGCATTTCAGGCTGCAGACACCCTGAAGGGTGAAATCCCCCCTGAAGGGAATTTCCCCAGAGCCCTTTGGTGCCCTTGGGAAGAGCAGCACAAGGGAAAAGGGAAAAATCCAATGCCTGGATTTTGTAACAGCCTAAAACCACCTGGAGGTTTTGGCATTTTAGCCCTTTGTGGTCCTCACAATGAACAGGGAAATTGGGATGTGACACAGCCAACAACAGAAATAACACTGAATAACAGAAATAAGGAATATTTAAAAAATCAGTAATAAATAATAAATACAATAATTTAAAACTATATAAATAAACATATCTAAAAATAACATCTATAACAATATAAAATAATACATATAATTAACATTATAAATAAATAGAAGAATAAATTATATTAGGGTTAATATAATTAATCAACACAAAAAATGTACAAAAATAATGTAAATAATATATTATAAAACACTGTAAAATATAACTATTAGAATATATGATATGTAATATCATATGATAATGTATAGTAAAAAATTTAAAATATGCAAATACTAAATAAGAAATTTAGTAATGTGAAGAGAAGTATAATTTAACTATATGAAATACAGTTAATTATATAACATAATATAGATAATATAAAAATATACTATAATAAAATAAAAATTATATTGTATTACATTAATTATATCTTATGATGCATAATAAACTATAATAGGAATAATATAAAACATTAATAATAAAAATACTGTAAGTATCAATGTAAGAGATTACAAATAATAAAAACAATAATATAAAATACCATAAAATATAGCTGAATTTATATCTTATAAATTTAGATGGAGTAAAAACATATAAAAATATCTAGAAATAATAGAATTTAAACATTATAGTCAAGTATCAATATATTACATATACTATTAAAAATAAATTAATTTCTATAAAATATAGCTAAATTTATAATATCTAATAAGTTTATATTAATAATATATAAAAATATCTAGAAATAACAGAATTTCAACATTACACAAAGTATCAATCTTGTACATATACTAAATAAAAATAATATAAAATATAGTGATGTTTATAAAAATAATATAAAAATATAGTTAAATTTATAATAAAATATAGTTCAATTTATAATAAAATAATATATAGTTCAATTTATGATATCTAATACACTTATATGAAGCAATAATAAATAAAAATACCTAGAAATAACAGAATTTCAACATTACACAAAGTATCAATCTTATACATATATTAAATAAAAATAATATAAAATACAACAGAATTTCAACATTACACAAAGTATCAATCTTATACATATATTAAATGAAAAATAATATAAAATACATTTACATTTATAAAAATAATAATATAAAAATATTTAAGTTTATAATAAAATGCAGCTAAATTTATAATAAAACAATATAAACATAGTTTAATTTATAATAAAATGTAATTAAATTATAATAAAATAATAATATATAGTTGAATTTATAATAAAATAGTTAAATTTATAATAAAACAATAATATATAGTTCAATTTATGATATCTAATACATTTATATGAAGCAATAATAAATAAAAACACCTAGAAATAACAGAATTTCAACATTACACAAAGTATCAATCTTATACATATACTAAATAAAAAATAATATTAAATATAGTTACATTTATAAAAATAATAATATAAAAATATAGTTAAATTTATAACAAAATATAGCTCAATTTGTAATAAAACAATAATATATATAGGTGAATTTATAATAAAATATAGTTAAATTATAATAAAACAATTATATAAATACAGTTAAATTTATAATAAAATATAGTTAAACTTATAACAAAATAATAATAAATATAGTTCAATTAATAATAGAATCTAGTTCAATTTATAATAAAACAATAATATAAATATAGTTCAATTTATGATAGCTAATAAATTTATAGGAAGCAATAATAAATAAAAACACCTAGAAATAACAGAATGTCAACATTACACAAAGTATCAATCTTATACATATATTAAATAAAAATAATATAAAATACAGTTACATTTATAAAAATAATAATATAAAAATATAGTTAAATTTATAACAAAATATAGCTCAATTTGTAATAAAACAATAATATATATAGGTGAATTTATAATAAAATATAGTTAAATTATAATAAAACAATTATATAAATACAGTTAAATTTATAATAAAATATAGTTAAACTTATAACAAAATAATAATAAATATAGTTCAATTAATAATAGAATCTAGTTCAATTTATAATAAAACAATAATATAAATATAGTTCAATTTATGATAGCTAATAAATTTATAGGAAGCAATAATAAATAAAAATACCTAGAAATAACAGAATTTCAACATTACACAAAGTATCAATCTTATACATGTACTAAATAAAAAATAATATTAAATATAGTTACATTTATAAAAATATAGTTGCATTTATAATAAAACATAGCTAAATTTGTAATAAAACAATAATATAAATATAGTTCAATTTATAATAAAATATAGTTAAATTTATAATTAAATAATAATAATAAATATAGTTAAATTTATATTAAAATATAGATAAATTTATAATAAAACAATAATATAAATATAGTTCAATTTATGATATCTAATAGATTTATAGGAAGCAATAATAAATAAAACCACCTAGAAATAACAGAATTTCAACAGTTTCACCCAGCCAGTGTCCCTGAGAGCTCCTGTTCCCCCAGGCGTCACGGAGATGCTGAGCCAGCTGCTCTCGGGCTGGCTGGCCGACCACAACTGGACCAAGAAGTACCATTTCCATGTCACCTACCTGCTCCTCAGCGGGGCCACCAACCTGCTGGGGCCGCTGGCCACCTCCTTCCCGCTGCTGCTGGCCTACACCGTGTTCTCTGCCATCTTCTGTGGGGGCTTCATGGCCCTGGTGCTGCCCGTGCTGGTGAGTGCCGCTGTGCCCAGCCACGCTCTGCCTGCTGCTGCACCCGCAGGCTTCTGGAGCAGCCAGAACGCCCCAGGATCTTCTGGGACAGCCAGAACATCCCAGAATCTTCTGGAACAGCCAGAACGCAACCATTCCAGAATCTTCTGGAACAGCCAGAGCCATTCCAGAATCTTCTGGAGCAGCCAGAACATAACCATTCCAGAATGTTCGGGAGCAGCCAGAGCCATTCCAGAATCTTCTGGGACAGCCAGAACCAGAACCATTCCAGAATCTTCTGGAATAGCCAGAACCATTCCAGAATCACCTGGAATACTTGAACCAGAACCATTCCAGAATGTTCTGGAACAGCCAGAACGGCAGCAGGATCCTGCTGGATGCTCCATGGGGATGCTCCCAGGGCTGCAGCCAGCTTGGAGAGCTGGGGGTGCTCAGCCTGGAGAGGAGAAGGCTCCAGGGAGAGCTCAGAGCCTAAAGGGATCCAGGAGAGCTGGAGAGGGACTGGGGACAAAGGATGGAGGGACAGGACACAGGGAATGGCTCCCACTGCCAGAGGGCAGGGTTAGATGGGATACTGGGCAGGAATTGTTCCCTGTCAGGGTGGGCAGGCCCTGGCACAGGTGCCCAGAGCAGCTGGGGCTGCCCCTGGATCCCTGGCAGTGTCCCAGGCCAGGCTGGGCAGGGCTTGGAGCAGCTGGGACAGTGAAGGTGTCCCTGCCATGGCTGGGGTGGGATGGATGGGCTTTGAGGTCCCTTCCAACCCAAACCCTTCTCCCAGGATATCTCTGAATACCCAGGACTCTCTGATCCAGGGAGGGAGGCACCATTATAATTTGGCATTTCTCTCTGGAAGGCATTCAGAGTTCCAAACTCCCTGCTCCAGTCTGGGCAGCTGCAAGGCAGAGAAGCATCTCCCATCCCAGCCATTCCCACTCCTGCCCCAGGGAGGCAAACGGGTTCCAGGCTGGGTCAGACCTCCAGGGGCAAAGTCCTTCCAAAGCTGCAGCTGGAGAGGAAATTCCCCAGAAAAAAAAGAATCAAATCATCTCCTGTGCTTAAAAAAAAAATAAATCAATTAATCTGTTGTGCATATGCATTCCTATGAACCCAATCACTAATTACCCGTTTTGGTTTCCAAACAGGTGGATCTGGTGGGTGTGCAGAAGCTCCACAGCTACCTGGGCTTTGCTGCATTCTTTGCAGGGATAGCAGCCATGGGAGGACCCCCTTTAGCAGGTGAGTGATGTTATATAAAACCCACAGCCACCCCAGAAATCCAGGGATAAACCATGCTGCTGGTTCACTCTCCTACAGGGATCCATCCCAGGATGGGTTTTCTGTTCAAACAGAGAGGGGAAAAAAAAAAAAACCCAAACTTATTTCAGAAATGTATTTTTATAGACAGGCAACATTTTGCTTGGGAATTTGCAAAATCCAACCAGCAGCTTGGAAAATGCTGCCTGGAGCATTTGGAAAATGCTGCCTGGAATATCTGGAAAATGCAGTGAAGCCCCAGGTGCAGAGTCCAGCCCTGACCACAGCAGGGTAACAAGTACATTTCCATGGATTTTACTCCCAGTGGTGTTAAAATAACACTGAACTTGGACTGGAGAGGAAGGGAAAGCAAGGACAGACTCAGCAAGATTCCCACCAGGCAGAGGCACTGAAACATCAGGAGAAGCCTCAGTAATCTCTTGTTTTGACAGAGATTACACAGCCCAGCCACCAGAGCTCTGGGCCCAGAGATAAGGAGCATGAAAAGCATTTGCTCTTCTCCCTCTGCCAGGAAACCAAGGCAGCTGTGAGGATTTGGGAGATTTCAAGTGCTTAGAAATGAGTGTCCAGCCTCTGCCAAGGAGCAGGGGACTTGTTCTTGGCCAGGACAGAGCTCTTCCTTCCCTGCAGCCCAACAAGCCAAGTGCTCCTGGGCTGAGCCCCCAGCCGGGGCAGCAGGGCAGGGGGGATTCTGCCCCACTCAGGTGAGACCCCCCTGCAGAGCTGCCCCAGCCCTGGGGAACAGCAGCAGGAGGATTTGGAGCTGCTGGAGAGAGTCCAAGGAGGCCATGGAGATGCTCCAGGGGTGGAGCCCCTCTGCTGTGGGGACAGGCTGGGAGAGCTGGGGGGGCTCACCTGGAGAGGAGAAGCTCCAGGGAGAGCTCAGAGCCTGAAGGGGATCCAGGAGAGCACAACAGGGACTTGGGAAAGGGGAAGAGGGATGGGACCAGGAGGGAAGGGCTTCCCACTGCCAAAGGAATATGGGATATTGGGAAGAAATTGTTCCCTGTGAGGGTGGGCAGGCCCTGGCACAGGTGCCCAGAGCAGCTGGGGCTGCCCCTGGATCCCTGGCAGTGCCCAAGGCCAGGCTGGACAGGGCTGGGAGCAGCCTGGGACAGTGAAGGTGTCCCTGCCCATGGCAGGGGGTGGAATGGGAGCAGCTTTAGGGTCTTTTCAAACCCAAACCATCATTTTTTGTTCCCTGCCCTCCAAATCAGTTGCCCTCAGCCTGCAGAGGCACCTGGCTGGAAGCTGCCAAGGGCTCTGTAAATTCCAGCTCCATGCAAAGATTCAGCAACGCTGCTGTTCCTCCAGCACAGGAAAAAAATTTCTATTCCCAATCAATATCCCTGGCTGGTTCTGCTCTGTCTGTGGATGCAATTTCAAGGAGCCAAAACATTTCATTGAGAAGGAGCTTCCCAGGGTCAGGGTGATGCACAGCCTGGATTGCAGCTCCCTGCTGCTGGCACAAGGTGTACACTGAGCACAGGGCAATGCCTCAGTCCCCCTGAATCCCCTGGCACAGCAGCAGTCTCTTATCCACACTCACACTGCAGTTAAATTTCCATCCACCTGCAATATATTTGCACTAATGGGAAGCTTTTTGCTTTCTGCAGTGGGTTTGTAAAGCAAGCAGGTTTCCTGCAAAAAGCTTTCCACAGAAATCAGGTGGGATAAATAAAGGCCAAATAGAGCCAAGAAGCAAAGCACTTCCTGATCCATCTGGTTACAGGCAGAGCAAGATGGAAACAAGCCAGAGCTCAGGATCCAGCCTTGGGATCCAAGATAAATTCTGCAATTTTTTCTTGCAAAGCAGTTTTAAGTGTGAAAACTGAGGGAGACCAGAAACTCCTGATGAAGTGTCCAAAACCATCTGCTCCCTGCAGAATGCAGGATTTAAATACTCTGTGAGACCCTGGGATTTGGTGCTTTCACCTCCCAAAAACCTTGAGTTTAGAGTTACAGTTTCCTCAAACTCAAGTGCTTTTATGCAGTGGAAATAATGATGATGGATAATGACAACTGCAAAGCTTAAAACTGCCTAATTTGCATATTAGACCAAAGCCTAATGCAAGGAAAAGGTGACCTACCTGCAGATCTGTTCAGCTGAAAATCCAGGGGCAGCTGGCAGCACCCAAAGGAAAGTTTGGAGTCTCCTTCAGAGCTCCCCATCCACTGGCACCTCTGGATGCTGCCACGCTGAAAAAACCCAGCCCAAAGCAAAAGAAACATTATTTTGGCAGCCAGGAGCAAGCTGAGGAGAGAAGGGCACGGTTAATTTCCACAAGCAGTACAAATCACTGACTCAAAATGCAACAGAGCTGAACCAAAGCGTGTAAAGCAAATTCCAGAAGAGATTCCAGCCCCCAGAGCACAAACTCCAGTCCCAAGAAATTTGGGTGGTCAAAAGGGAGAAGATGGAGTTACCCAAAAGCTCTGCTGGCACACATATTTAAATGTTTCCTAAATTTTACCTTCACCTTCCCACTGAATTTTGCTCCTCAGGGCATCAGGAATAAATAAAACTTCTGATTAAAGATCAGCAGTACCATTTAAACAACCTGACCCAGCTGGTAGCACCAGCAGTGCTGGGAATGTTTAGTTTGGATCACATTGCTGGGATTTACCAGCATTCCTCCCAAAACTGCTGCTTTGCTGGGGTTTGAACACCACAAGCTCCTAGTTCAGCTTTGTGCAGCAGGATGATTATTGTTTTGTTTTGGAAATGAATGTGGGGCAGACACTGGAGCTGCTTCAAAAGGTTGGAAGTTGGTGGCTGTGCTGCCAGTGAGGCAATGCTGGTAAATCCCACTTCCCCTGTATCCCATTCAGCACCAAAACAACACAGGAAAATAAAAAAAAAAAAATTAAACAATATCGTGAAGGATATTTTAAGAATTGCAATAAATCAGAGCTCTACTGGGGCACTCTGTCCTGTTCCTCTCACAAATAACTACAACAGCATCCCCTCTCCAAATCCCAGAGACTTCCAGGCAGCAGAAACAGATCCCAGCCCTGGGAATGAACCTCAGGGTCATGGGAGAGGCCCCCAGTGCAGCACCAGGGGATGGACCCCAGCAGGGGATGGATCCCAGCAGGGGATGGATCCCACGAGGGGATGGATCCCACCAGGGGATGGATCCTACCAGGGGATGGATCCCATCATGGGATGGATCTCCAGGAGATGGATCCTCCTCTCCAGCTGCAGCTCCCCAGCACGTGGCTCACAGGACATCCCTGAGGAGCAAACACAGGGACTCCCCCCGAGACAGAAGTGAGCCAATAGAAACTGAAACTCAAAAAGCAAAAGCAGCTGCTCCTGTGCCTTATAAACCCTCCTGTGGAAATCCAGAGAGGGGAAATGTCAGTGCCTGTGCTCCAGGCAGATCCCAAACTTCACTGGCACCCTCCCTTTCCACGTGTCCAAACCTCAGTGACTGTGTCTTGTCCCTTCCTGGCTTTAAGAAACCCAGGTTTGGGCCAGATCTGCTGTTTGTGTAACTCATGGAAGCCCCTGGATGTCTGGATTCCATGGATGTCTCCAAGGAATTGCATTTCACACCAGCAGCAGATCTGGCCCAGCTGCTGCCCCACACCCACCCACCCCACCCCACATTTGGGACTGCATTAGGGTTTTTATGAGCAGCAGCATCTCCCACCACTTTGCAGATTTCAGATTCAAAGAGAGGAACTCTCCACCTTTCAAAGGACTGCCCAGACCCCTGATGGTTTGCCAGGACCAAAGCCAACACTTGGAGGTCACTTTAAAAGGCGACCTGAATCCTCCAGACATTCCTGAGGCTCAGTGGAATTCAGCTTTTCCTTTCAAGTCCTCCCAGAGCTACTTTTATCAAGTTCACTTCCAGCTCCTGGCCTGGGTCTCTCCTGTCAGACAAAGGACATGAAACTGGCTCTGCTCACAAGACAAGGCTGGAGAACAGGGGGTTTGCAGCCCAGATGTTGCACATACCAACACGTGCAAGTCATCCCTTCAATCCAACGGGATCTTCCGGCAGCCACTTTTGGCCCACTTACTTAAACAGGAAAAAAACAGAATTCAGGGATTAAATTCAATCAAATGAAACACCATGTCCACTACAAGGATCAAAGTTGGCTCTGGGAAAAATGACCTGCATGTCATTTCCTTACAGGAAATGCTGCCCAGGAAGTGTTAAAATAATTTAAGGGAAATATCTGAGCAATTCTTAGATGAGAACACACATCCTTTGCCTCCCACCCACCTCCCTGAATTATTTTTTTCACTGAGAAAAATCCCCCAGCTTTAATAACAACCTTCTCTCCTGCAGGGTGGCTCTATGACTACACCCAGACCTACGCCTGCTCCTTCCTCTTTGCTGGAGCCTGTGCTCTCATCTCACCCATCTCCTTCTTCTTCGAGCCTGCAGCCCAAAAATGGAAGCTAAAAAAAGCCAATTTGAACAAGAGCTGAAGTTTTAAAGGCTGGGATTTGATCACATTTATGTGGGAAAGCCATTGCCTGTACTGGGAAGGATCCACAGCAGCAACACTGAAAACTGGAGCTGCTGGATGTCAGGTTCACTTTGGATACCTGGATATCTGTCCTGATTAAAGCCAGCTGAGAAATGCACAGTGTGCAGTGTATGGGGAAATGCAGCCCACGGTGCCTCTGCTCCTGGGCTGGGTTTTTGTGCCTCTCAGACTGAATCCTCAGCTCTGTCCTTCCCAGAGCAGAGCTGACTCACTCACCTCGAGGGATGAGCAGCCAGGAGCTGCCGGTGCCAGAGCACAGCAGAGATTTCAGCTCGTCCTGCTCACACACAAACAGCTGGCCCTGGGCAGGGATGGAAGCAGGGACAGGGATCAGGGTGATCCTTCCACGAGGATCAGCTGCTCCAGGAGCTCCTCTCTGTGGGGTGGGCGCTGCAGTGGGGCCGTTCCACATCCCAGGCACAGTTACTGCCACAGCACACAGGACCTGCAGGCAAAACCAGTTTTAATTAAAGCCAGAACCAGGACACAGCAAAGTCAGAGACCAAACCCACCCCTCCCCAGCTTCCCAACCCTCCAGAGACTCCCAGGGATTCCATGCACACACACAGGCAGCTCCAGTGCTGAGCCTGGATCCAACCAGCATCCCACAGATTTAATTTGGATGGATAAGACACAACACAGCAGCCTGGACTTTCTTTCCAGTAGTGAAGGGGAATTTTTTGAAATTTGGTATTTGAAATTATTATGGTAAAAAATTTGGTATTTGACATTATTATGTCAGCCTGGGATATTCATTCCAACCAATGGCATTATCCTTTTTTTAGCCTTCCCTTTTTTAATTATTAAGGAGATTTAATTGTCCTATTTTTTTTCTTACCCCTTTTATTCCTCATCCCTTTTTTTTTAATATTAAGGCAGCAAGACAGTTGTTTCCCCTATAAAACCACTCCTTTAAACTGTGAAACATATTATTTCAAGCCCAAAATGAGGTGGTCTATATTTAATAAAAAGCTACAGAATGTTTTAACAATTTCAAGGAGCTCCAACACTGTCACAGGTAAGAAAGTTCCTGTACAGATGATGGGCCAAATCCAGCAGTTACACAATTACACAGTGCCAAAGAAACTCTGCTTAAATGAGGGAAAAATTACAGGGAATGGGGAATATCAGTGCTACAAAACAGTTCATTTTTCATCTGCTGTTTGACAGCTTCTCCCAGGAATCTGCGGGCAGCAAGTGCTTTGGGAATGGTCCTTTCCACTGTAACCACCATCCCTTTACTCCTGAAACCTCAGCACCCACCACTCTGGGACTGGCATGGAGCAGTGAATATCTGATCCAGGATTTAAAGGATCCCCAGGGGGGGCATTTTCCTGGAAATTGCCTGGAATTTCCAATCCACCAGGATTTCTGGCTAAGATGATTATTTCTGAGGTGTTTAAGGCACTGGGAATTGCAGGGGGATGAACCATACTCAACCAATCCTGCAGTGAAGCCTCAGCCAAGCCCTTCTGCAGCAGGGATGAAACGTTCATTTTAAAAAACTGAGTTTTCACCTTGTGAAATAATAAAGTTCCTCATCTCACCAACTCAAACATTACCAGCAGCTTTGGTTTGCTGCTGTAACAGGAACCACGTGGGAGGTTTTCCAATCCTAAAGCTTTAGGATTTTAGCATTTCTTTCTAGAAGGCATTTTAGGATTTTAGGTTTTTTTTCTGCATCTCCCTAAGAGCAACTGTGCTTTTGGCTTTTAACAGAGTGGGACCAAAGCTCTGTGGGGATGGAAAGAGCCACCCCAGCAGCTCCTCACCCTGCTGCTCCCACTCTACACAATTCCTACACCTTTTATGCTCTGCTCTCTCCCTGTAAATGAAGCCTCTGCTCAACACCTTCCTCCTTCCAACACAAGCCCTGTGATATTTTCACCTCTTTTGCCACCAAGAAACAACTTGGCAGGATGTGGTGTCTACACCTCCCACCCCATCTCCTCCAACAAAGCTCCCCTCCAAACCTGCAGGATCTTAAGGAGAGTCCTGCCCTCTCTCCATCAGACCAATGTCACCAATTCCTTACTCTTATTTAGCAAAATTGGAGTTCTTGTGCCCCCAGCTTTCCTTCTGCAGAGGAGCAAACAGCTCAGGAGCTCCCATCTCCCCCATCCCAGCCTGTGGATGGGCACCACCAGCCTTTATTTGTCCCCAGAATAATCCTGCACAGGCAAAGCACCTTTCTCCAGCCACAATTACCTCTGGTTCATCCAAAATTGTTGAGGAAACCGATGCCCACAAGAAGAAACTCCTCCCAGGAGCCCTGCACCATCCTGCCAGCGGGCTGGGAGGGGGGTGAAGAGTCTTCAAACCTTTGTTTTTCCACTGAGCACGCCCAGGCTGGTGGTCAAACACTTCTCTGCTCACACCTGGCGCTGGGAAGGCAAGCACAGAACAGATGGTTCAGTTCCCCTGGCAGCTCTGAAAACCAAAGGCATTTATTTACTGCAGGATACACCACGTGCACGAGAGAGAGCAGCAGCGAGGGTGGGAACATCTGGCCCAGGAAGGTTTTCCCATCCCACTGAAGCCGTGGTGCAAATCACTTCCTAAAGCTGTTTTTGCACAGTGCAGAACACGACAGGGTGCTCATGTGTGGAGAAATGCAAGGGCAGGGGTTGCTGGGACAAAAATTGGGGTAAAAGCTGCAATCTGAGGTGGACTAGAAAATCCCTTTTGTCCCTGCTCCCTTCACAGAATCCCAGAATCTTTAAGGCTGGAAAAGCCCTCCTGGATTGTTGAGTCCCAGCTGTGCTCAATGCCCACCTTGTCCCCATCCCAGAGCTCTGAGTGCCACCTCCAGGCATTCCCTGGGCACTCCAAACCTCCCTGGGCAGCTCCTGCCAAGGCCTGAGCACCCTTTCCATGGGGAAATTATTTCTGAAAATCCTTCCCTTACATTCCCTACATTTCCTTACATTTCCATTACATTCCTTACATTCTCTTAATTTTCCTTACATTTCCCTTATATTCCTTACATTCCCTAATTTTTCCCTTTCAAAGGCAATCCTTCCCTTACTCATCTGCAGTAGAGAAAACCAGCAGCAATGGCTAAAAATGATCCTCAGCATGGAAAATGCTTTGCTGGAGGGTGGTGCCCTCCCAGCCATCCCTCCTGCCTTCCAGCCCTCGTGCACCTCACAGGCAGCATCTCCACCCTTTGCACTGGGAAGAAATCACCAACAACTCCTGGATCTTTGCAAGATTTCACTCACAATAAATCAAACCCCCTGGAAAAGCAATGCCAGCCTCAGCACTGTGCCCTGAGTCACCTGGGGAACATTGTCCTGCCCAAGCTCATCCCCTGCACATGGGGTAATATGCCATGGCCAGCTGGATCCTGATGGGAAACCACATTTGGAAGGACTTTAAGCAGGATTCATGGGTTTAAAAACCTTCTAAAAATCATGGTGCAGAGAAACCAAGCACTCAAGAATTCTCCAAAGACCCAGCAACCTGCAGGGAACCAGAGCTGGCAGGAAGGAATCTGAGTGACCAAAGGAACCCAAGAAAACATCCTTCAATTTTCACTGTACCCCAACAGAGACTTGCCAAAACACCTGAGTCCCTTGGGGAAAAAAAACCTTAACAACTTCATTTAGATAATTCGTTTTCTGAGCGCTGACAGACAGAGGACTGATACCCTGAATCCTGATTAATTTTAGCACCACAGGATTAAAAAAGCAAGAAGAAAATATGGAAGAGGCTTCTCTAACAAGACAAGGATCACTGCTGGGTTTGTGCTGGGCTGCAGGGGTGCCACCCCTCCTGGAAGGAAACGCTTCTCCACTGCTACCAGTGATTTACTCCCAGGTGTAATCCTGAAGGAGGAGCCTGGCAGGCACCTTGGCAGGACTGATTTATGGGGTGGGCACCTGCTGGGTCTTAAACCTGCTTCAAGGGATGTTCCACATGCCAGGATAAAAAGCTGCTAAGACTCAGCTCGGGTCTATCAAAGGAATGGAAGTTGGTGCAATTGGAGCTCACATCAGGAAGCACATTGCACTCCCCCATACCCACTGGAATTATTTTAAATTATTCATACATAATTTAAATTTATTAATATATTATTTATATATTCATGTTACTTTATATAATTTTATATTAAAATAGTTTATACATATTATTTATATATTATATTATTTAAGATAAACGTTTATATATTAATATATAACATTTTATTTATACATATTACTTATATTATATATTATTTTATAGATTTTATATTTTATATACAATTATTTAATTTATTTATACATATTATTTAGATTTTGTATTATTTTATATTATTTACAAATATATTTAATATATGTGTATATATATATATATTTATAAATAATAAATATTTTATTTATACATTTATATTTGTAATTTACATGGCCATTGTACACCCCTGAGTGTCCTGGCTACCAGCTGCAGGTTTCCCTTCCCTGTTCTGCATTCTGCCTCATTGAAAGGCAGGGATACAGCTGCTAGAACATGGATTTAGGCACTTCAAATACAAAATAAACTTTACAAAACAAACCTCTCCCTGCCCCACACTCTGTGGTCAGGCTCTGCCCTTGATAACAACACAACCTACTGACACCAAGGCTGTGACTTTCCCAGGGCTCCTCAGATGCCACGAGCGGCTCACGCCAGGCACTGGGCACGGAGGGGGTTTGCCACGGAGCAAGGAACAATCTTTATCTCCTTATGTCCCTCCGAGGCTGGGCTGGCATCATCCCGGCTGTTTCCCCAGCCCTGGCACTGCCTGCAGCTCTCAGGGAACCCCACACGAGCAGGGTGAGGGGTGGCAGCTCTGGGTTCAACCCCATCCCTGCATCTCCTCTACCCCAAAGCTCTGCAGTGCCCCCAGCACACTCAGAAACCACAGGGGAAATCCTCATCATTGCCACTTTAAAGGGGAACAAGAGGCTTTTCCACAGCTGTGGCAGCACAAAAACCACCGCAGACGAGGTGCTTCAGCTACCAGCACTGTGGGGATCCTGTGAGCACCTTAAGCCACACGGAGAAAGCCAAAAACAATTTAGGAGAAAGCCAAAAACAATTTAAAATAGCTGGGTGAGGATGTGACACCGGGGCCTT